CTGTCCTGATGAACCAGCTGCCTATAGCGCTGCATAGGCACCATTCCGGGCCTCCCTGGAGAGGCTTGTTGATTAGCAATGTCTGTAAAGGGTGAGGGAAGACAGAGTAACAGTACATAGGCCACGTGTTTGCCATCCTTGTGTTAGTTGTATGTGAGTTCCCCACAGGGCTGTGAAACGAACAAGTGTTCAGCTCTGGTTTGGAAACTGGCTTGGAGATCCCATATGGGGCTGCCACAGGATGTGCCTCAGTGAAAGCTTTCTTAACATTATCTTGATCCTAGTCTATTTTTAGTGCACACTCTTTCCCTTTCTCTTGTCCTCAGGCTTAGAATCTTAAGTCCACTCTGGCCATGGGATCCCTGAAGCTTAGAGCTGAACCCAACACAATATCTCTTTCTCCTGACTTCAAATAGCTGCTAGTGCTACCTTGAAAAAGCACTGGCATTTTGACAGGCTCTAGCACTCCCAACCCCCTTGCTGGCCCCCCCTCTCCAGTGACAGCCTGAGTCGAGCCAGCTCTGGCATGGAGTCAGATGGTGAAGTTCCTCTCGTCCTCCATGGAAGGGAACCTTGGAGATTCATGCACGTAGGGTACGCCTCACATGAATCATTGCACTCAAAGCATTATATACAGAATTGATATAGTCTGTTTCAAATTAATTTTACAGGGTCTGAACCCACAAACTAGATAAATTTTCAGGCTTTAGTATACCGAAAGAACTCAAATAAGATGCCTCTTGGTGAAGTGTGATTTTATAGGCCTTTGCTACTGGTTAGAATTCCTAGACGAAAAAAAATGAGGCAGCACCAAGTGCCAGGAACCCTGACATCAGACTGAGGGTACACAGGAATGGGAGACACACACATGTATATACAATTCTTACACATTTGAGAGGTGATAAGATTGAGGGAGTTATTAGAAAGAAATGGGAACCAGCAATAGGCAAATGGGGGAAAAACCTGTCTAATATAATAAATGATTACTTATCTCATTGAGGTCTGGTTACCCTCATGTCATTCCTTACCAAAAATGTTCAATTCATTCTACTGCAAGGTATCCTCTCTGGGGACTTATTATTAGGATGACCATACATCTCATTTAGCAGGCAGGGGCATACCTGGTTTCCTGCAAAATTTACTAAGAGCACGCTTTTCACTCTTAAAATTCTTCTGGTATGGATAAGAAATTATATAGTCATACTTTTTATCTTCAATTTTGTAATGGAAGCCAAAGAGAAGATGAGACTTGCCTAAGTGAAACATTTGCTTTACAAGTAAATTTCCTGGTCCATATCTTTAAAGTGAAGGTTCTGCCTGTACTTGGACTTGCCCTTATTAGCTAGCTAGTAGGAAGATGCGACACTACCACGTTTTGGAAGGCTTGGGCCATTCTCCTTTGGACATTTGCCCTCTTCAATTGTAACATGATCAGAAAGGCCAACAGCACAGTCAGGCAGGTCATTCCTGCAGAGCCAAGGATGGCGATCAGCAGCATCTTCCCCCCGCTGAGGTCCGCTGGTGCTGTGCAGAAAGACAGAGGTGAAGCAGGTAGGTTAGTTTACATAGAGAAACACACCATCACCATCTTTGGGAGAAGACACAGTGTAACAGGAACTGAACGGCAGCCCTAACCCCGCCACCTAATCACTCCATGACCTTAGGCTACTCATTTATATTCTAAAACTCAGTGGAGATGAGTCTGACTCACAGGATTGTTACAAGATCTTTAAAAAAAAAAAAAAAAAGCACGTGCGAAAGTGCTGTTACAATTGGCAATGTGCTAATCATCAGTTATCATTTGCTCAACTTTTATTTCCAAGTAGGATCCCAAGCAGATGAACAATACTGAATAAAAGGGAGAATGACTAAACCTCCCTAAACCTCAATTTCCCCACCTAGAAATGTTTTAAAGTTCGATTATGCCAAGAGCTTAGATTCTGTCAGATATTTTGTTTTGTTTTTCTCATTTTAAAGAGCTCATGAAGAAAGCCTAAGGATACCAACAGAAAAAAAGAGGGAGGAAGGGAAGGAGGAAGACAGGAAAAGACAGAGGCAAAAACACTAAATTTCGGGCTTACGTCGAAATAAATTATAAAGACTGTGGTATAATCACTCTACTTCTTTCCCTTATTTAAATTCAAATAAAATTAAACTCAATATATGTTTATTAGTATTAGCACACAGCACATGATCCCATCTTCTTAAAAGTATTCCTCCCTTCTCATTTATCTTTCCTTCTATCTCTATATATGTACATATACAGAGATGTCTAGAATGATGAGAATTTTTGGTTTTGTCTTGCTTTAAATTTTTTCTCTTGGTATTTTATGTATAGCTTAAATTTAGGAAGTTACATTTTACCAAAACACAAGTAATCACAAAATTGGAGCATTCACTAAGAGTGTGACCTGAAAACCATGATTTTCTCTATTGAGCAGACTCTTCATTTCTTGAACATTTCAAAAATGTTTCAAATAATCGGCACTGCTAACGCAACTTGTTTGATTTTGTTTCTTAAAGTCTAAGTAATCCTCCAACAGAACCAAGAAGTTTTTAGATTTAGTTATAGCATTTTCTGTAAATATAGACTATAATCCAAATCATAAATTTTCAAAGCTTCCCTCTAACATGCCTCCATCCACATTCTCTAGCACACATTGTACACAACACAGAGATCTGGGAGGCGCCTCTGCACAGACTCGAAGTCAATCCTCCTGCTGCATCTCCACCCGCATGGGGCCTTTGTTCACTTAATTACACTCAACAAATTTTATCAGTCACAAACGCTGGGCACAGTATGGCATTCTGAGAGGATCTCTAACTCAAAGCGTAAACTATTTCTGGGGTTGGGGTTAGTGGTGGACATGGAGACCTAATAACCTACATCAACAAAGTAGAAGAAAACTCAGAATTGCACAGTGCCATCCAGCTAAAAGAGGAGTGTCTGAGGAAGAATGGAGCATGGTCTCTGGAGCCTTCCCCTGGAGCTCTTGCTCAGCCTGCCTTCTATAAGCAGCTCCCACATTCTTCTTTCTCCTCGGAATTAAAGTTCATATTCCTCAGAGCTTTCTTCTTAGATTGCTGGATGGGGTATGCTGATAGACTGATCTATTTAATAATAGAAAATGGACCAACAGCGGTCCTTCTTGGAGGCATTTGATATTAAGGACCTCTCTGTAAATAAATATCTGTCCATTCAACCACCGACCTTTCATAGGTTTTCATTTCACAGGCCTGTCCTGATAAGCCAGCTGCCTACAGGGCTGCACAGTAATCCTATGTAAATACCTGTCCATTCAACCAACCTGGAGATTCTGGGAGGGTCACCAGTTCATGAGAAAAGGCTGGTTTGCTTGACCCAATGTTGTTCTCTGCAAAAATGTCCACATGGTAAGCTGTTTCAGGCTCTAGGCCCTTGAGCTGATACTGAGTGATGGTGGCATTCTTTATCTTCACATCAATGTGCTGGTCTTCGTTCTTGCCCTGAACCTTGTAACGGATAGTAATAGAAGAAATAGAATAGCCATCCAATATTGTCCAAGAAATCACAGCAGAGGAGTGTGTGATGTTGGAAATCTTGATTTTTTCTGGTTGAGGAGGAAGAACTAGAAATTAAAAAGAAAAAGATTCACTGAAGATACACTACCATGTCTTAGATCATTATGCTTTTGAGATAGGGTTCATGTCAGCTCATACAACATGAAAGGCAAACAGATGTTTTCTCAGATGGTATCCCAATCAACTGGTAGTGGCTACTGGACTCCATGACGACTTGAAAGAGTGGCACAAGGAAATGACAACACTCATATCATCTACCGTCATCTTGACACTAAACGAAGGCCTGAAAAATTCTGTCATTCCACAAACCTGTATTTACTATTCTTAATGCTGGGAAGAATGGAAAGCTTATGAGGGCTAGCATTTATATAGTGCTTACAATATGGGAGGCATTGATCTAGGCTCTTGTATATATTAATTCATTTCTTCTTCATAACAGTCTTGCTGTAAGTGCTGAGGTCTGGAGATATTAAGTGACTTAGCCATGGCCACACTACTTAACAGTAGTTAAGATTCACACTGCTGTTAAGTAGAAGAAACAAGATTCAAACTACTGTTAAGTAGAAGAAACAAGGTTCAACTCCTGGCAGTCTGGTTCTGTAGTCCATAGTCTTAGCATCATGTGGTCTGTCCTTGCCCTAAATTTATGGAGCAGCAAGCAGGTTAGTGTATACATGAGAAAATGTGCTAATAACTTTCAGTAGACAAAGTATTATAGGGATTTGGGGAAAAGTGGGGTCACATTCCATTCAGGGTCATAGGCAGGATGAGAAAGAGATGCCTTGAGATTTTCCACGTATGAAGATGACAGGCACCTCATCATCACTACATTCTCACTCAAACTTGAAAGGGCACAGGCTAGAAGGGAAGTTCACAACTTGATAAAGCCTAAGCCTATTTAACCCAGGAAAAGAATGAATTCAGCTGGGCACGGTGCCTCACGCCTATAATCCCAGTACTCTGTGAGGCCAAGGCGAGCAGATCACGAGGTCAGGAGACAGAGACCATCTTGGCCAACATGAAACCCCGTCTCTACTAAAAATACAAAAATTAGCAGGGCGTAGTGGCACATGCCTGTAATCCCAGCTACCCGGGAGGCTGAGGCAGGAGAATCACTTAAACCAGGAAGTCAGAAATTGCAGTGAGCTGAGATCGTACCACTGCACTGCAGTCGTGCTTAAGTGACCGCAAACAAAAAAAAAAAAAAAAAAAAAAAAAAAAAAAAAAAAAAAAAAAAAGAATGAATTCGAGCTCTTGTTCTTAATATTCTCTGTACCTTGCATTATGAGGCTATTTACAATGTGCTTCCACATGCAGACACTCTCTTGACTTGTATAACCACACAGTGCTGAGATTCTTATGCTCCACATTTTAGAGATGAGAAAACTGAGACTTCAAAAATTTAAGAGTTTTGTTTAGAAGAATAGTAGACGTAGGCTGTTTCATTCCATACGCCGTTGTTTTCCCACATGAAAGTTATTGCTTATAAGCAAATTAGAACCTTTGAGAAGTATCTCAAGGTACATCCTTTCTATTTAAAATTTTTTTCTTGGTCATCAATTCGTCGGCACGTCATGGCAGGTGTGCTGAAGAAGACCACTGGCCTTGTGGGATTGGCTGTGTGCAATACTCCACACAAGAGGCTAAGAATATTGTACACAAAGATTCTCGATGTTCTTGAGGATATCCCTAAAAATGCAGCATATAGAAAATATACAGAACAGATTATAAATGTGTTAAAGTGGAATTAGATGTTCAAAAATTAGAAGACCAACTTCAAGGTGGTCAATTAAAAGAGGTGATTCTTCAGGCTGAACATGAACTAAGACTAGCAAGAAAAATGGTGCAGTGGAAAACATGGGAGCCATTAGTGAAAGAGCCTCCTGCCAATCAGTGGAAATGGCCAATATAATTATTAAGTGATTTTGGTGGGCTGATGGGAAACTGATGTAATGAAATATTCTGCTCTATTAAGAGCGTGTTCATATTATTGACATAATCAAGAAACTGAAATAAAAATATCTAGGAAACTGTTAAAATTAGTGATTATGATAATTTGGTCATGTGAATCCATTTTTGATTTGTAAAGTAGTCACACAAATTATTTCAAAGATGATATTTCTATGAACAGAGAGGTCATGGGAAGATGTGAGAATCAGAAAAATTCCTAAAGATCTTCAATGTAGAGGCCATAATCAAAAAGTAAAGTTTCTTTAGTAGTAGGTTCAAGATATCATTCAATTTTTAAAATTATCCTGAAGAAGAAAAGAAAAGGTCCTTAATTATTATGGTCTAAACAAATTTATAGATCACTGTTTGAAGTAAAAAATAAGAGTGATATTTTCAAATGTGATAAAACAACATAAATGGCTGCTAATAAAATTTGAAATTATGGTTAACCTCCTTAACTGTGATCTTATGGATGTAAAGTAAAATTTAAATATATAGTTATATATTGATTATAAAATCCATAATGCCATTTTGTTTGTCATTATTTGAATTATACCATTTACTCTGTTTTCTTATAGTCTTAATTTTATTACATTTTGTTGTTACTGTATTATATTTGAAAACCATCAAGTCAGAATACATTGTACAGTTGAAGAAATTGACTTGGTACTTGAAAGAACGATTTCCCATTGCACAGAGGTACTTGGAAAAACTTTTCCTTTTGTTGCATTTGTGGAAGTTAGTTTTCTGGCCCATAGCATTTAATTTTCTTAATCAACCTAATTACATCAGGACAGAGGTAGAATTTCTGTGAAAGAAGAGACATTAAGAGTTTCTGAAATTTATATCTGGCATATGGATAGGGATATATTCAAAACATCTTAACTATACAACTATAAATTCAAAGTGGAATCACTAAATAGTTTGCAGTACGTTTCTAACATAAGTGTAGGTAGGTATCAAAATAAGACAAATATTGTTCAGGGGAAGAAGTTGGCAAGATTAAGATTAAACAAAAATAAAATTATGTGTTTTTGCCTTTAAAAAAAATAAAATTTTTTTCTTTTCATTATGTTGACTCCCCCGTGTTACCCTTTAGGGGACTATGGCAATTTATGGGAATTCGGTATTGGATTTTGAAACTTCCAAATCTGATTGTTATGTTCTATGTCTACCAGGTGGTACAGTATCCAAAAATCACAATTAATCAACATTATGTCTTTCTTTACATCCAGTACCAAATTTTTGTATATTTTTATAAAAATATACAGTAGCCTTTCTTCCCACAGGAGATTAAAGGGATAATAGAAATACTAACATTTTCAGATTACTATGATCACATATTTAATAGTTGTGGCTCAAAAAAATTCAACTTCATAAACCAGAGATCTTCTAAGCCTGTCACAAAAAGCAGCAGTGTCTTTTAGATACTTGTTAGAAAAATAATGAATATAATGTTGGTGCCAACTAAAAATCATAAATTTGCATCTACCAATTTATCCATTTTATGCCTGAAAGGAGCTACTCTTTGGGATGGCCCAATAAACCTTTGACATAAATTCAGTGGGTCTGGACCCAGCAATCTACATTTTAGCAGGTTCCCCAGGTGACTCTAAAATAGATTCTAAAATCCTTTAGGAAACACTAATCAGACCTTAAACAATTTAGAAATGGGCTATCACTACTAAAGAACATCTAGAGCCATAGTTGCTTTGAAGCAGTGGGTTGCTCATCCAAAGAGACAAGTGGAAGACATTTGTAGCATGGCTGGGGGAAAAAATAGAACAAAATGAGGGTTGGAATCCTAATCCCCATGCCGTGCTAGCTGCATAAGTCTGGGCAAGTCACCTACCTCCTCTGTGCATCAGGTTCCTCATCTGATAAATTTGATGGTCATTCTTACTCTACCTTCCTCAGAGAATCATTGTAAGGGTCAAACACTCCCCAGGTAAATGTTTTTCAACAAGAAAACCTAACACACATATATTATTTTTACTATGATTGGGGTGATATGCCAAATCTAATTCACTCCACTTTTTACCCTTGGACCAGATGGAATTGCTAGGCTGGGAACCAACACAAATTTTATAACTGGAAGTATTAATTTTACTTCTGAACATGCATGATCAGCCAATGACAACACAGAATATTAACAAATGTTTTCAGGTAAAATTGAAATGTTCTCATTCACATCCTCCTTCCCCTGATTTCCTGACGCTATAGGGATCACCTCCTACCCTGCCATTCTTACATCCCTACTACCACCACCAATATTGACCCTCCATCAAATTTCATACCATCATCCAAGGCAAGTCAACTCCCAGTGACTATTAACTGGTTTTTGTTTAATCCCAAAATATGATACTGATAGTGTGATTTTGAGAGTAATCACTCTAATAAGGATGAAACTTACATAGAATAGTGAGCACCTAAGATAATTTTGAAATAGGAAATGGTGATTCACCCCAGAGTTATCAAGACATTTCATGAGTCTATAATTAATTTAAATATGCTGGAAATGGTACAGGAACAAACAGATAAATGCAAAAGAACAGAACATCCAGAAATAGATACAAAATGAATACAAGAACCTGGCATATGATACAGAAAGCATCACGACTCACCATGGGGACTATTCAATATGTGGCATTGGGAACACTGACTTGCCACATGTGAATAAATAACATTAAAATAAAAATATTAAAATACACTGTACCCCCAAATAACATTCCTGTATCTTAAAAACCTAAATACACAAAACAACACTAGAACTAGTAGGAAAAACACAGAGAATATGTTTTTGACCTTGGGATAGGGAATAATTCCAAAATGCAAAAAGTAAAAATCATACGGGCAAATACTAATAGGTCCAATTGCATCAAAATGTAAAGTATCTGTGGGTTAAAAACCACCACAAGGTTACAATCAAGGGATAAGGAGAATATATTTTGCAATTAGTATTTAGATCATACAAATAATTTTTACAAATCAGTAAGAAACACATCCTATTCTAAATGAGCAAAGGATATCAATCAGTGTATCAAAAAAGAGGACATCCAGATGAACAATTAACATAAAAAGATGCTTACCTTTGCTAGTTATTAAGGACATCAAAATTGAAATCAACAATGAGGTACCATTTTTTGCCTTTGAGATATGCAAAAATAACAAGGTGTGATACTATCGAGTGATATAGATATAGGGGAAGGATACAGGTACAGAGAAGGGTATAAGGAAAATGGTACTGTCATACACTCCTGAACATAGTATACACTGACTAACCACTTTAGAGGGAAACAGCCCATGAGTTCTACCACTGGACATGTTCCCAGGAAAAACTCTCACACCTGTCTATGCACATGGAGACATGCATTAATAATAGGCATTGCATTTTATTCATGATAGTAAAAAATGAAAAAAGCTACATCTCCATCTAAAAGGAAGGGAATGAATGACAAGATGCATTCATAAGATAGAATATTATACAGAAGTTAAAATGGCATGCATCAAAGCTAAATAATATGGATAGATAAAAATCATAATGTTCATTCAAAAAAGATGCATGATATGTATGCATATGTATACTTTTAGATATATTAAAATTATAGAATATTGGGCTGGACACAGTGGCTTAGGCCTACAATTTCAGCACTTTGGGAGGCAAAAGTGGGAGAACTGCTTGAGCCCAGGAGTCCCAGACCAGCCTAGGCAACATAGGGAGATCCCATCTCTACGAAAATTTAAAAAAAAATTAATCAGGTGTTGCGGTGTGTGCCTATGGTCCCAGCTACTCAGGAGGCTGAGGTGGGAGGACGGCTTGGGCCCAGGAAGCCAAGGCTGCAGTAAGCTATGATGGCACCACTGCTGACCAGCCTGGGCAACAGAGTGAGATGTTGTCTCAAAAAAAATTATACAACATTAAATGGAAATATACTTAAACTCATAATTTTGGTTGTCTCTTGGGAGAGGGGAATAGAAATGGAATAAGGATAACAGTCAAAGGGAGATACTGACGTATCTGTAGTGGGTTATTACCCCTGTAAGTCAACAACAAATGCTGAAAGCAAATGTGACAAAATGTCAACAGTTGCTAATTCTGGATGGTAGGAATGTGAATGTTATGTTACTCTTAGCATTATTCTGCACCTTGAAAGTTTCACAAAATTGGAAGACAGTGTGGCGCTTCCTCAAGGACCTAGAAATAGAAATTCCATTTGACCCAGCAATCCCATTACTGGATATATACCCAAAGGATTATAAATCATTCTATTATAAAGACACATGCACACATATGTTCATAGCGGCACTGTTTACAATAGCAAAGATCTGGAGCCAACCTAAATGCCCATCGATGATAGACTGGGCAGGGAAAATGTGGCACATTTACGCCATGGAACACTATGCAGCCATAAAAAATGATGGGTTCATGTCCTTTGTAGTGACATGGATGAATCTGGAAACCATCATTCTCAGCAAACTGACACAAGAACAGAAAATCAAATATTGCATGTTCTCACTCATAGGCGGGGGTTGAACAATGAGAACACATGGACACAGGGAGCGGAGCATCACACACTGGGGTCTGTTGTGGGGGAACAGGGGAGGGGCAGCGGGGGGTGGGGAGGTTGGGTAGGGATAACATGGGGAAAAATGCCAGATGTAGGTGATGGGGGGGATGGAGGCAGCAAACCACATTGCCATGTGTGTACCTAGGCAACAGTTCTTCATGTTCTGCACATGTACCCCAGAACCTAAAGAGCAATATATATATATATACACATATGTATATATATTACCTGTTTTCAAGGGCTTTCAAGCATAATTACTTGGTTTTTAAGATTAGGAAAGACCCATCTGGACTTCATTGTCATCTGTGTACATGGAGATATATATGATAATCCTTAAAAACTGCCCCATAAATAGTTCAACAAGCCCTAGAAAACCTTATTCTTGTTATTAATTTGCTAAATAACTGCACACCAAGGGAGGGTAAATTTTAGCACAGCCCTGCCTGAATTATTGCAAATCCAAATATATGGGGCTTTCTTATATACTGAAAGTTATTAAAATGATCAGGTGGAGGGCACTAATTAGCCTTCTGTCACAACTACCTTTCTTTCATAATTTCAAATAGTCTTGAAGTGATGTTACCAAATTCGAATGGTGGTAGCCCCATATTGCTCAGAGGAGATTGGAGCAGAATGAGTTACTTACTGTCACTAAGGGTCCAAGCAGTGAGACCTTCACTCCATTCCCCCTGGGCTTTGGTGTTGACTCTAGCTCGCACGACGTACTGCTCCCTGGGATGTAAGTTGTTAAGCAGCACCGAAGTCAGGTTGCCTGGAACTTTAATATTCTGCTGATCACTTTTTATATGCACAGACCTCCTCTCCACTTCAACATAAAAGTCATCTTCCGAGCTTGGAAATATTGGTTGCCAGGTCAAATTTAGAGTGGTCTGACTTTTAGGCAGGAGATTTAGACCTCTTGGAGGAGGGAGTCCTAGCAGAATCCGGAAAAATCATTATTTTTATATACAACTGATATAGTTTGGATGAGTGTCCCCACCCAAATGTCATATTGAAATGTAATCCCCAATGTTGGACGTGGGGCCTGGT